TTTTTTTAGTTTTCAATTTAAAATTTTCTGATTTATTATAATTTAGAAGTCAGGTATATGATTTAATTGTTGTCATCATATTACTTAAATATGCCATTTCACATGGAGAAATAAGTTGAAGTTACCTACTTTTTTTTTGGTAGCCAGCCACGGTTCCGGAGCTATGCTCCAACTAATCCGTTGGTCGACCCGGGTCGCACACCTGACAGTGGTGGGTGAGTCTCCCAACAAGGGTTTCCGCATTCACAAGGACTCGAACCCGAGACCTTGCTTAAGCGACATCAAACTGCTTATCACTTGAGCCAACCCAAGTTACCTACTTTGAGAAGACTAATGCCACATTATATTAGACCTCCAAATTATTTTTCTCTAAGTATATAATTATTATATTGGTATGAATTTAAACTTCAAATTATTGTCGTTTCTGCAATTTATCTAACGAATTATTTTATAAAATATAATTTTAATATTATTAAGTAGATTTTTAGTATATGTTGAAATACATATTTAATATTTGAAAATATGTGCAAGTTCTAATAATAACTAGTTAAGGCATTTACATGCTTTGAATTTCCTAAATATTTATATGAATGTAGATAAATGTTGAATTTAAAAAGAATTACATAATAATAATGAATTTTATAAATTAAGTAAGCATGATGCATGTGATTAAGGAGAAAAAAGTACATAGGAAAAAAATATTCCACGATTTATTTATTTATCTATTTTAAATAGCAATATTTGGTTATCATTTGAGAAGAGCGTGTAAGGAATAAGAATATTTGTAATGCTAGTAAAAGACTCACATTAGATTGTCAAATGTCATGAAGAGTGGGCATATATATAACATCACATATCAATATCCCACTCCTAAACCATGAAAAACAAAAAACTTAGGTTCCTAACTTTCTTCCTACTATATTGAGTGGCAATTTTAATTTAAATTGAATTTGAATTTGAATTTGATGTTCTAGCTCTTTGAATTTGGACCGGATTCTCTTACATACTTTATTTACAAACTCATAAACTCGAACTCCAGTTATCTATCTATATAAAGCGATGAGAGGTGAATTAAACGCTCTTATATCTAGAAATTTCGATATGTAGGAATTTACTATGCTAGTAGGTGACTTAGATTGTGCTCGCTATTCTATTCATGCAAAAACATCTCTTTCACCAACACCAAATTAGCTAGCTCAATTGTAGATTCTCAGACTTTAGATCAAAATGTAGTGTGAATATAGAATGGCTTCTAAGGTGTTCAAATCGAGCGATGTGACTTTGGGCTCTACCTCGTGATTACACATTCAATACTATCAATACGTTAACCCAAAAAAAAAAAAAAGGCATACATATGTATGCAATATCGTACTTTTATTTACGTTATTTTTCAGACTACGACGTTACAATTTGAAAAATATGCATACGAGCGTCTACGTGTTTCTAATCGTTAGACCTGTCTAATACCAGATTTATAGTTTATCATCCATGTAAACTTACTCATTTACGGTTATCATAATATTATATATATTATATTTATCATTATAATATAATATTATTTATATTATATACAATATATATATATAACAGATATTATAATATATATAATATTATATATATATTATATAATATTATAAATAATATAATATTATATATATTACATGTAACAGTTATTATATATTTTATACTATTATATATAATATTATATAATATATATAAATATTATATATATTATATTATATTATAATTACTTTAGGGGTAAAGCAGTAATTTCAGGCACTTTAGGGTGAAAAAATGAAGAAAAAATCGCACAGCACGCGCGTGCAAACCACTGCCGTCATTTTTGACGGTTTAGGGGGTTTCGTGCATGTAAAAGTATATTACAAGGGGGTATGGCGCAATTTTTAAAATATAGGGGGAAAACGCGCAGATTTCGTATAATACAGGGGAGTTTGGCGCAATTTACCCTAATTATAATTGAAAACAACCTCTGACAGCTGAATAAAACAATTCTTGAGTCGAGAACACATATCTGAAGATCGCCTAGATGCTAATAATAGCTCACAAGTCACCCACAAACAACACAAAGCTAAACTAAGAAGCTCCGCAAATGGAGAACAAAAACTTCCATACAGGAGAATACACATTCTCCTAAGAAAGATAACACAAACAAAAAAACACGAAAGAAAAAATCCCACAGCAAAACGAAAACAACCCAAACACACTACAAACCCACTCCACCACAACACCTAGAGAGTCAATCGACCTTCACCCTAATTGGCAACCAGTTAGGAGTCAAAACCCAATCAACCAACCACAGCGCCAAGTAGCATAGTAGAAAACCAACAAGACACACAAACAACACAACGACAAAACAGAAACAAAAACACAGATTAGAGCCCTCCTTCGTAACAGAAAAGCAAAGTCCGCGAGACCACGCCACCACCATCAAGAGTACCCACCCAAACGGGCCAAAGCACCGAGACCTAAAACTACAGAAAACGCCTAACAAGATCCAATATTCTCGCCCTGAAACTCTCCCAATGTAGACAGCCGTGAACCAATCAAACGAAAATCAGCCCCAGACTCCAACAATCTCCTTCGACCGACAACCAAAAGCCAACAAACAACAAGAGCCCTCGACCTTGGGAGCAACCCGTCTCCTAACCCTAGAGACAACTAGAAAACCAGAGGGAATATGGCACCACAGAAGCCCCATGCTCAAACCCCCTCGACAACCATCGACGGCTTTACCGAGCAGCCACTGGTGATGGCCCACCACTACCGACCCAACCCCATGTAATTAAGAAAAAAGTGGGAGAAAGGGAGCTCACCTCTACTCCAACCTCTGCCCAAAAAAAGTCAGAGCACGTCGCCCAACCCTGCCATCAAGACGTCAGAAACCTCACGCACTCGAAGGGAAAACCTCTTTCGATTTTTCTTTCACGTGGAAAAAAAAAAGATAAATAGATGGAAAGAAAATGTCATTCTAGTTTGTTTATTTCCAACACATAACCCTAAGCGGGGAAAATGGCAAGACGATTTGCATCCAACAAGTAACCCTGAAAAAATAGAAACATAACAATTGAGAAGAAACTATTTTCTATGATACAACGATAGGGCACGAAGAAACATGATGACTAATAAACTTGTGTTTTGCGCCAAATACATTGTACAACAAATCCCCTCCCAAACGAAAGTGCATTCATAACTTCATATGACCTCACAAAAGCAAACAAGCAATCATCTTCATGAATCAGATTATAACCGGAGACTGCCTGTTACCAGCTCAGGCTGTTCTTTGACTGTTGTGCTTTAGCAGCAAATGAACTCTCAATCTCTTCCTGCATGGCACACCCGAATGGCTTAAATATCTTATCGCAAACTCAGACTTTTTCCTAATAGAATAAGAGACGTTGGCTTAGGGTTATACCTTGCATGACTTTAGCAGAGGCTGCAAGAAAGATGACCTGAAATATCTGATTGATTTGCCAAGTGATGAATTTTCCAGTTCTGCCACCCAACAAATTTTGAAAATTCTTATAGAAAGAACAAATGTGAACTTCACACACACACACACACGCACAGAGATGTCAATATGAACTTCAAAGAATGTGTTTATACCTTCCTTGTTACCAGTTCCTAATGCTCCCGTGTTCAGCTCTTCCAGGAGCTGCATGATGATAAAAAGAAGGGTATGACAGTAAAATCTTGACACCAAAATGACCCATGATGAAAATGGAATGATTTAGGATCTATCTTTAAAAATATTTCAACTCTGATAGAACTAGAGATTATCATTGACATCATATGTTCATGGCAATTCAAGCACAAAATTTGGAAAAACCTCAGAGCATAAAGAGAGCTGCTAACTACCCTCAAACAAAATCATATATGGCTGAAAAAAGAAGGTTTTCCTATCTTTTGCATTGTAATGCCATAATGAAAATGAGCAAAAGCAACATAAATTATGGAGAAGCAAGGACTTCATGTTCATGATTACAAAATCTGAAGCACGTAGTCTCAAAGTAAAGAAAGAAAACTCACCACCAGATAGCCTACAGATGAATTTGATAACTAGTAATATATATTACACATTGTATTACAAGATTGTAGCAGTTTCAGAGTGAATTTGATAACTAGTAAAATATATTACACATTGTATTACAAGATTGTAGCAGTTTCAGAGTGGCAGAACTTCTGTCCAAGAGATCATTAGATACAAGGTATAGCAACTGTTATATTGCAAGAAAGACACATTGTAAACGAGGTTGCAAGAACTGACAAGTATCATCCTAAATCATCATGATCTAATTCCATTATGTTATTTTATAGTTACACAACACCTCCTCCAGACAGTTCAACGCTCAAACAGAAATATGGCTACAAGGCAAACATACCTCATCATTGAGACACTATTAGCTCATAAAAAAACTAAGCAAACTAGATTTAAGTAGCACAATCTAGACTTACTACTCTGACATATTTTTCAACTCAAAGAAAACAAAGAGTGTACATCAGTATCAGTTTGAGTGTTTAACGTATAATATGAAGCAAATCTTTTCTAATATGCACCACCAACAAAAATCACTGACCCTTGCAAGAGTTGGTACAGCAGACGGATCAAATTCTTCACACTTATTGGGATCAATAGGCACACAAACACGGCCTGTAAGATAAAAAGAGAGAATGTTCATGGAATGCACTTCTCATTGAGGGTTCAGAAATTCACCATGATAAATCTTTTCAGCACTTACCTGTTTTCGGGTGTATGCAGAAGGGTGCCTTCAGCAAGTGGTTCATGTGTTTTGAAACCTGAGTGGCAACAAAATTGAGATCACCAGCCCATGACAAGATATTGAGTAGTGTACAATGTGCAACTGTAATTGGTAGTTTACTATTTTAAGCTTTCACTGAGTAAAAAAAAAAAAAAACTTCACTGGAATAGGATGTAAAGAAAATTGAGAACCTCCAGATCAAGTCTTGGATAAGTGAAGGAGAACACTATCTCCTCAACACACCTGCGTATACTTTGTATCTGAAACATAGTAATTTTGTTAGTTAATCTCAATTGATTATTCATTATCATGCTAAAATGAAGCTTTATAGTTGGAGAAATTTCTCAAGTGAACTAGGAAACTAGAAAATATATATTGAGACTAAGTAGCAGAATTGCATAAGGCTGAAAACAAAATCCAAGTATGAATTAAGTAATAAAAGAAATAACATGTCTATTCACATAAGTGGAAGGAATATAGAAACAACTGCAAATGTCATCTCCGACACCAATTTCCATAAATTTTATTTTCCTTCCGACTTTTCTTATTATATAAAACACTACCCAATACCTTCTGTTTTCCTGATTGCAGCAGATGCTTAATATGGCCCCACCGGACAACATTCACATCATCGCGTGACCGTTTATTGTCCTGCCACTTTCCCCTTAGCTCAGAAGTAACAGCTGCCAAAGTGTGGAAAGTGAGGAATGCTATAACTAAAGTAACAAAAATAAGACACGGGCAGTTATAAAGCACAAAATCTTACCTTCATCTGGAATCATTTCCAGTATCCTTTCATATCTTTCCTCAGTTGAAAACAAATCTTGGCTCAAAATGAACTCTTGCTCGAAGAAATCTTTCAAAACATTAGCATATGATCTCCTAAAAGATGGAAAAGTACAAACATTAAGCCAGAGAACAATACAGTCCACAGATGAGCAATTAACGTAAGAATGTACTTACCCAAGGAAAGGATGAAGTGAGTGACTGGATAGAGTAACTTTTTTCTGGCTATTTTCATTTCCCTGAAAAAAGGAACAAAACATAAATAGAATAAAGATGTGAGAATATAATAATGATAGCCGTATATACAGAAAGCATGGGTACGGGCAGGCAGGGGATGAGGGAAGAACCTTGTGAACATGCAAATACTCGGTAATGGCATCCCTTTGTTCATTGTTTAACCTGGTCACCATAACAATTTAGCATGCATTAGTCTCAAGAAACTTTGTAAAAAAATTTCAGACCTTCAAAAAAAAAAATCATGATTACCGTCTTGCTTTTCCATCACAAACCCAACAATGGACTCCACGACGACCACTATAAACCCATAAAATGTGGTTGAACCCAAAGTCATCTGCACATCAGATCATTCTGAAATTTTTCAAGGCATTTGTACTTATATTATAGTAAGGTAATGGTTAATAAACAAAAGAAACTGCTCATGAAAGGGCTCTCTCAACCAATAGGTACAAAAGGGAAGTTGAAGTGTAGTTTTTTTCTAAAACGTCTAAGACAAGGAGTGCGGAAATATTTTCAGCTCAAGAAGTTCATCAAATGGCAAAGAGAGAATAGATAAGTAACCAAATAAATGACCAGCAAAAATATCCTACATCACATGCAAATATGATGAAAAGTTAAAAAGGGTTAAAATCCAACATTTCCAAACGAGCCACATTTCTGCAACATAGTTGGCCCCGGATGAAATAATAATGTGTTTTGTTGTGGTTGAAAGCTAGATTTACCAATATATAACAGAATGAGTTTTAGACAAGGCTTCGCCACTCCTTTCATTCTGAAAGTAACCTCCATATCCCCATTTACCTCTAAGAGCAGTATCAATAACTTTAATTGCTACTGTCATCAATGGCCAGCATTTCGGGCAAACACCAGCTCCGGAGCAGCAAAATCTTACATCATCGTAATCAGATATATCCTGCAGTATACAAATTCAGTCAAATCCATGTATCCTCATATACTTGATTTAGTTTCCAATATCAAATATTCCACTAGGCTCAACCTGCAAAACTAGCGAGAACTAACTAAATACTTACTATATCAAATATAAGTTCTCTCTCTACTGGGGTGAAAACGTTAGTACCAGACTGTGCATAAGCATGCCTTTTTGCTGGCTGCAAAAGTGTAAACAGCCGGATTAGTGAAAACCAAGAAACAAAATTATTGCCAAGGTCATATCTAACCTATCAAAATTTCTCAACATGCCTTACTCACAGTAAGTTTGACGAAGTAAAAAACGCACATACAGAGATTATTTATTGCAACAGATATATTAAACTGGCCAAAGTTTTCTGCGGAAGGTAGAACAGGTTATACTTACATCTACACTGTAAACCGGTCCAATATCAATTTTGACGGGGCACTTCTGCTTGATGGACTTTTCGAGTTCATTAGCATCATTGAAAGACTGAAAACGTAGATATATATCATTCTCCAAAGTAAAGGAGAACTCTCTATTCCCAAAATAAGACTGATCACATCCCTGATGCTTTCCATCTAAAATAAGCAAGCAAATGTTCAGTTTCGAAACCCATCAAAATAATCCATAAATTAAGGTAACTGCAAGCATAAGGTGCTCGAGATTAGAAGATTGGTCACATCTCGGATTGCTTTCCATCTAAAAAAAGCAACCAAATGTACAATTGTGAAACCCGTTAAATCAATCAATAACTACGATAATTACAGGCATGAGACACTCAAGAGTAGAGGATTACCGTTTCCATATGACATCCATTTATGCATATCGGCATAAGGAAAAAATTTCCCTGTATTGATGAAATTGAATCAAAAGTAGCTTTACAAACTACATTGAGAAAAAATGTACTTGTAAATTTAATCAGAGAACTGCATGATTGAAACATTGCGGAGACAAAATTTAAAATCATGAACACTTCCTTTCAGTTCTGACACCATTATCTGATTTTAGTGCTTCAAAGTCCCCCAACCAAAGTCTAGAAAAAAAAAAAAATCACAAATTACACAAATTTTAGTTCCAATTTATTTCACTACACACTATAGCTTGTAATCCGGTTTCGTTAAATGTAAGTGGGGGAAA